AATACTGGTCATTGCAGAAAGATGCCCCTCGCGAACATCGAAACTATCGAGGAAAGAGGCAGGCTGGCTTAGCAGTGCTAAGTTAGCACTCCGCATCTACCCGGCGCTGAACAAGTTCTCCCGAGGTACCAGATGTGATGAGATAGTGCGAGAGAACTCGCCTAACAACAATGCTATTTCATTGGTGGAGGAGTATGAGAGCCACGCGGCAAAAGAATTGCAGCAGAAGCGGTCGAAAGAGGACGAGCGTGAGGAATCGAAGTAGTTTCTCCCATCACTGGAGACTAGCGACCATGTACGCACTCGCAGTAAGGTAGGCACCTCAGTGGTGCTCAGCTGTCGTAGTTGCTACAAGTAGCTGTCTCGGTGATTGGTAGAGAAAAATTTGGACGTTTCTCAATATGGTTCGCTTGTAACCCTTAATAGTATCTCTATGAAGGCCCTCTAGTGGTGCCCGGGAGTGAATATTGTGTGCGGGGGGCTGTAGAGTTCATAATCAGTAATTTAGTCCAAGTTGCGTTTCCCCTGTACAATCCTTCGACAACTCTGCAAAGTCTATAACAATAGCTCCACGAAGACGCTCCGATGAGTGCCACTGCCCATGAGCAAATGTTTCTCGTGCAGAATGTCAAAGTTGCCCATAATACTTACGTAATGCCTACTTGAGGGTTTAACTTCTGGGTATTGTTGAGTCGTCAATACGTACAATCGTACCAAACCATGAGAGACAACTGATACGATGCAAAAAGAGAGAGGATACTCGAAGATGGGACTCAATTTAACTGTTATCTCGTCTGATTCAATCGCGACGTGCAAGAGCAATCATGTGTTTGGTATTCACCATTGATCATAACTCGCGCTGTCTTCGGAGTGAATGATATATCTCACTAGAGTGCTATCACGCTTTGACCCGGTACTACGTGACCCACTTGAAGTGAGACACGAGGTGTGACATTTCTGATAGATACTTAGTAAGTGCACAGGGCATGAACATGCGCCAAAATGGATATGAGACGCAATACCGTAATCGAACGAGAAATGCTATCCCATAACTATGTTTGCTCGATTGTATATTACTTGTACGAATAATGCAAAAGGGCAAGTTTGCTAATAACGCTAACAGAGACGGAGTTTGAGCGAATGAGCAAAACGCTAGTATATATTCTCGCAGGGCGTAAGTTACAAGAGAGCAAATAGCCGAAACATAAAAGTAGCGCAGCGTTGTCACATACCGGCAACTACCAATTGTATGTTTCATGCAGGAACATCACACAAGGGCAAACCTTAAAAAGTGCCAGACTACATATTACAACGCAAAACATATTAAACAGCAAATGAGAAAAACTTGCCAAAATAAGAAAACGTGCGGGCGAAGCACACTTGGGCAAAAGTGCCAGCGTGTAAAACATTCCGGGGAAATATACAATGCAGCAAAAAAAGAGCAAAAAAGAGCGACTTGCTGGAAAACTCTTTCGGATTTGCTATTTTCAACATTTGGTTGCTAAAACCTATACCAGAAATTGCTAGGTTGTAAATGTGGTTGCTACTTTGTAACTGAGAAAGCAGCACATACAAAAGAGCAAAAAAGTGAGACTGTCAGAAATTATAGCATTTGGCAAATCCGCAAGATTAGCAAAAAGTTGCGATTGCCGGATTGTATTACACCGAATGCGCCGAGACCAACATGCGCAGCGAAACTGTGAGTTCCCAAGTTCGGGACACCAATATCAAGGGAAATTTCGAATGATGATATCTCCAGAAGTCTCATGAAAAGATACTCTGTAATCAAATTACAGCGCTTGTAATCCCCACTACTGCTCACCAGGGTAGGATCGTCGAGCTTGAAACTTCGAGGAAGCTGTGGGCAGACATGACTCTCCCCAAATGCTGAACTATTGGCGTGATTAGCTCGACATGTGATACACTTCATTCCGAGTGGGATTCTCCGGAGGTTCTGATGGAAATTGCAACAAGTCCACCCCCGGAAGAGCACATTTCATCGTTCGAGCTGTCGGAAATTCCGACTTGCGATCCTAGGCGGAATAGAGTAGAAGTTGTCCTGACGAAATGAATCGTAGATCTAAATCTACGACCCTAGATCTTGAGTCTGATCCAAGGGTTTTGTGGAAGCAGTCTGCACCCTCTACCTGGGTGTTTCGGGGATTGGGCAATGATAGATGGAGGATAATACTGAACGCAAGTGGCAAATCATCCACTTGTGTATTCTTATCGGGCATTCCGACATTCACGATCAGATTTGTTTTGGTTTAAGATTGAGCTCCATAACTGAGTGACAATTGAACCATTCGATCTATCAAAAAGCTTTAATGAGAGAAAAAGAGTGTGATGCCTGCGAGAAGCTGAATACCATCAAACTTCAGTCGCTTCAAGCGGGCCGAATGGACATACTAATAGATGCATTCCCTTCCTTCAAAGCGGACTGGATGATACTGGCTGATCCGCAGATCAAAGAATCCAGCAGCCTTCGAGGGCAAGTTAGTTGCCTCTGGTGAGGCCGACTGATGAGCTATGCAAGAGCAATATGCACCGCTTTTAGTGCATCCACTTCCCCGATACCAGATAGGTTCAACCTATTGGGTATACTGGACGTCCTGGATTTCATGATAATGTCCGTAATATTCTGACCAGTTAAACCAAGAGTACCGAGCAGAGCAGCGATACCAGCAACTGTAGGGGTCGACATCGACGTACCACTCTTAGTTCCGTACGACCCTACGGGTATCGTCGAGTTTATATCTACACCTGGAGCGGCAATTTTCGTCACGGAGCCAAGGTTAGACCACGATGGAATAGAGACGTTTGAGTCTGGAATGGAAGTACTGGCAGCAACACAGATCATAGATGAAATGTTCTTCGCCAAGGAGCAGGGATAGTACGGTTCTTTATCTAGGGTCAATCCCTCATTACCAGCTGCAACGATGGTGACCTGTCCGGCTGCAGCAGCGTTCTTGAACGCTGTTTCGACGATCTTATAGTAGTGATGCCATCCATATGAATGAGAGGACACTGCCGCTCCATGCGCAATTGAATAGTTTAGAGCCATTAGTGCACTACTGGTTAGACCAATTCCGAAGGAGTTGAAGATCTTCAATATCATTAGCTTCACATTAGGGATCGACCCGTTAACGTTCGCCACTCCTGCAATACCAATGCTGTTGTTAGTCTGGGCGGCCGCGATACCAGCACAGTGAGTACCGTGACTATAACCATCAGTTACATTGGTGTTATTGTTGACATAGTTGTAGCCGATGGAGCCATCAGCTGGGTTCCTCCAGAATTGATGAATCAGATCCGGATGAGTCATGTCGACACCGGAGTCGATGATGGCGAGCACAATATTCTTCAACTCTGGTTTGGCCGAGCGAGCGGCTCTCCAGGCAGCTCCCATTCGAATGACCTCGAGGTTACGCTGGCAGGAAGATATGGGGTCGTTGGTACCAAGAATAGGGTTGCCACCAGTACAGTTGGATAGGTCCTGTACTTTAGTCGGTGCAGGGATAGGACTCAGAGTGACCTCCGAATCCGGCTCACAATCGAAGTCGATGCCCAAGATATCTTCAGCTTTCCTCAAGTAGTTCAGAATTTCGCTGTGGCCAACTGAGCATGTGGACTCAACAATTTGGATCCCCACGGCAGTCAAGTCATAGACCATACCATCTTGTTCGAAGCATCTCTCACACTTACGGTCATCTTGGGTGAGAATGCAGGCCCTCACACGCGTGGCAGCCATGGCCTGTGCCATCATATTAGGTACAAGACGGATGTCGAGTGGAGCGCCTCGATGAGATACCCTCACCAATGTGCGGTGGGAGGTACCTTCACCCAAGCTCATGACGTATACGAGCACCGTCGATAAGAATGCCGAGCGTGCGAGCATGATGCTGATCAACAACAACTGATGTAGTGTCCTCTTGATCAAAGCAATCACCACTGGAGAACAACTCAACACTGACATCTGACGGCAAGCTATATAGACTACGAATTGATAGCTCGGACCTACGAGCCGCAACACAATACCGAAGCGGTACGGTGCGCCTTGTGCTCACGCCGTGAGCCTACACAGCCTCACGGCGTGAACACATCCAACCTGGATCCGGCTCGGAGGTTTTGAGTGAGAGCATCTGATCATATGTGGATCTGTTCAAATAAGGTACATCTCAATCGAGCTGCAGTTCGACTATATGGGTCTTCAAGACCCGGTCTTGTACGGCGTCTTCTACATTCCCATAATCTACCCGACGCTGTCGGTTCACGCTGACGCGAGAAGCACGAGATCGGACGGGCGATCGCACAACATGGGCAACTATTTTTAGCGACAACATGAGTTTGCCCGGCAGTCCTATAGCCTATAGGCTATAGGACTGCCTTCATCGAGGACTCGCGTTACAAGTCGGGTTTCCTCTGTATGGTAACCCATATAACAGAGCTATGCGATGAGGTTCTTTACGCGCTCGCTTTTTCTCGCGTTTGCGTGCCTCCTAGATGGAACGTGGAATCCCCTGGGGGCCCGATCCTCAACTCAGTCTCAGGCATACCAAGAAAAAAACGTAGGATGTTATACACTTCGAGCAACAGGATCACTCCGACCAAGACAGAGGTTCGGCACTGCTGGTCACCGACACTGAGTAACAGCCACTCGGGCCTCCACCACGACCATCGAATACGTCGATGCAGAACTCCGCCCATTTCTCAATTGCCAACTTCCCCTCCTTCAGAATCTGAGCACAGCAAACGGAGGCGAGAATATGGGACTCCGTACCTTACTAAGCTGAACATGGGGAACACGTGTATCATATTGTCATACACTTCTAATCGACAACTCGCCTTCATTGCAACACGCTGAGCGAACGGCAAGATATCTTCCATGAAGCCCTCGACCTCTCCAGCCTGAAGCTTTGCTCATTTGATCGATTTTCTCAGCATCTACCTGCAACAAGATTGGGCAGCCTGCGAACATACCTGAATCTCCTAAGACGACACTCGCCAGCCCGGCCTGACCGACAAACAAACCATCAAACCATTTCCAATGGTAACCATAAGACTTCTTCTGTGTTGTTGAAGCTTTCCTTTCTGCTCACGATACGCCATTCATCGGTCCTATCACCATCCTCAGTACAAGGTAATCTAAACCATTCGCCTTGCAGTAAAGTCACTCCAGCGTTCCACACCATCACATTCGATAGCATATCCCGACTCATGTCGTATTCATAGGCACTCAGACTTTTGCCCAAGTCCACCACGGGGGACATAGCCAGGCAACACGCCGGTGTAGGCAAGGTGTAACCGAACGTCTCCTTTCCCAAACACTTGAGAAACCCCAGAGCAAGCGCGCCTCCTGCTGAATCACCGGCGATGACGACACTTTCGGGCTTCGTGGGGAAGCGACTTTGACTCAGCACGTATTTATAACCCTCCAGCACCTCTTTGAGCTGCTTAGGAAACACGCAGTGAGGGGCCAGGGAATAGTCAATGATCATAGCGACAACTTTCCTTCTCGCTCGTCCACAAGAGATCAACTTGGTCTGCAACTCAGTTATCAACGATGCACAAAGTTCTAGGTGGCTCGATGCTCCATCGAAAAAGCAATATCCCCCACCATGAATGTAGTAGAGGACGACGTGCTCGGTCGAAGCCGCAGGCGTAGTAAAGTCAGAGAAATATACCTAAAGGGATGGATGATCCTGGCTCCGACTCACAGCTCACATTCCACAAATGATCGCGGTGATTCTGACTATTATTCCACCATGGAATTTCCATGCAAGTTTCTCGGTAATAGCAAGTTATGTGTTCGCCAATGCGGCAAGATCTAGTATTTAATGTCCTCACCCAGGTGCCCTTCAGCGAGGATTTCTGCACAGCGACACTCTCTGTCCTTAAACGCGGATGAAGCATCTCTGCGAATGGCGGCCCAAAGACCTGGGGAAACGCTTGTGAGGCACTCTCATAAAAGACTTGCCCACTTTGGTAAGGCTGTCCACCACAGCCATAACTTCAGCGAAGTACTTCGGCGCGTCGCTGGACTTGTCGGAGAACTAGTAAGCGGCTCATCTATACATCAGAAGCTCCCACTACCTCAGGCGGAAGCTGTAGCAGTAGCGCTAGCGTCAGGGACCAACTGATATCACAGCTGAAGAATACATGGGCCATGAGCTGACAGAATCACTTGCGTGGCGAGGGGAAGCTGACACAGGCGATACCTCTGCCACAACACGAATAGAGTTCTTGATGAGGTATCCGCAGGCGCCAAGGTGCAAACTAGAAAGGCTTCTGCCCAAGAAAAAACTCCAAGTGAAGCTCTCCTTAACAAAGACTCACCTGACGAGCTCCCCGCCCTGGTTTCTGTAGCTAAGACGATACACGACCGAGACCAGGAACCTTGGGACTCGGAAAATGATACCCCAGGCAAGCATGATCGAGAAATGCAACAACGAGACTTATCTCACTAAAGAAAGACACCGATTCACAACCCCCGTTACGAAAACAGAACTGAAGTATCCCTCCCATGGCAGTGACTCGAAACCAAGCAGTGGCTCAGTCAAGGTCTGGATGTGGCTTCACGGAGCCTATTGGACGAGCTACGTCGAGTCAAGTGCTGACCAACGAGCAGAGACTTGTCAATGAGGCCGTGAAAAAAATCCCACTTCTTAAGGAGGATCTCTCTGCGGTATTAACCGAGACTCTGGGATACAGCATGACAAGCTCAGCAGAAGTAGATTCACCCGAGAGATCAGTGCGAAAATGTGGAAGGTATTTAGACGCGAGTGGCCCTATCAGCATGGTCGAAGGAGAACATCAGAGAGCTGCCCTACGGCAACGACCAAGTCCAACCGCCCTCCCATAATGCTTCGATTCGCCCTTCTTCAATCCAATTATTCTTTCCCTACTTCGTCATCGGATGACCAGTAGGCTTCATCGCGCCACTCACCGAAACGCGACGGACGACCCTACAAGGAGCAACTGTAAGCAATTTGAGAGACAATCTCGATCGAAACTCAAGGGGGGCTGAAGGACAGCACGAGAAGGTAGGTTCGCAGAATTAACACCACCAGAGCAATGAGGGTCTTCAGCAAGGCTGGTGGCATGATTCGCTCGAACACAGACAATATTAACAACTCAATACGGCAATCCAGAGAACACAGTAGGTATGAGTATGTTGGTGAATGTCAATTACGACATCACCTAGACGGACGTCGTCGTCGATAGCCCATCACGCTGCTTGGGCCATAGCAGCTGTTTCCTGGTGCACATCCTGCTTATGCAAAGGCTCCACACTATCCTCGAAAATGGCGAAGGCTTGTCCGACAGGCATCTTCTCGCCCTCAATCGCCTTAGAAACGAAATCGGCCCAACGATTTATTGCGATTTGTCCAAGAGGAATCACCTAGACAGAAATAATGGCCACAAAGTGCAACAAGAAGGCGGACAAGCTGGAGCCCGCCAGGTGTAGCAAAATGATCTTACAGATGAGAACATAGGGGAAGACGTGTATCATCCGATCGTAAACTTCATAGCAGACGGCCTCTCGTGCTTTA